TTGCTCTTTGCATGGGGTAGCGAGGCCACCCTGTGCTGGCCCTTCTGCACTCTGGAATCAGCCTCTGCAGGATTATGGCCTCCAGAAATGAAGTGAGCAATGGAGGGATTGCTTTGGAGACGACTAAAAAAGCAAGTAAGAGCAGCAAAGAGTTACATTTCAGAAGTACTGGCTCCCCTCCTGGAAAGTCTTGTAGGACTTGTCAAGTTGAAAGACTGTAAACTAAACATAGTGTGGCTGATTATGGCATGTAAGTATCACTTGGCATGTTAAGATGATAAACAAAAAAGATCTTCATTGTAAGTTGGTTCTAAACTGTGGAGAAATCGAATGCTTTCTGTTCTGTTTGTGGAATTCATGTAAGGATCACCTTCTCTGAGCTTGTTATATGCTTAAAGAATATTAGTCTAATATGGTTTTCAAAGGCAAAATATTTTAGTAATAAACAAATTAGAGTTACTTTTGTGGCAGTGGCTGTTCATAGTGTCCTGAAGAAGGTAGCTTACTTCACTGAAGATTTGTTACAAGTCTGTAATCATAAAATCAGAGGGAGAGGTGGCAGTTGCTAGTGGAACCAGCTTGTCTGAAGTGGGAAAATACAACTAACATGATCAAATTATTTTTCATCAGCTCTTGTCCTTCTTCCCTTTGATCATCCTTGTATGTGGTTTTTTACCAATTTTTATTTTTACCAATGCTTTTCATGACCTGTATTCATCTGATGTGCACCTCTGTTTTCCAGATAATATTGCTTTTCTTCTCAACTGATGTCTATAAAACAATAATGTGTAGAGAAGTCAGCCTGTATCTTCTAATGCAAATGAAGTAAAAAACATGTGGTCTGGCTGCCCTGTGCAGGCTGGCTTGTAAGTTTAGAAAACAAGTTTATTTGAGAATTTATGTAAATTCTTTGTAAGAATGAGTGCACACGAGGCAGAAGGGAAAGCACCTTGCTGGAAACCCCCGAGTAGATCTTGACTCTATGCTGTTACTGAACTGAAGTATCTGAATTTGAGCCCTTAGTTTTTAAGTTCACAACTTCAACCATCTAAAAATCACAAAGCCTGTCAGTCTTCATGAGGAGGTAATGATAAACTAGTCATTGTGAGTATGTTGTAGGAGAAAAACAAATTCTTTGCATTTTTAGTGGTGTGCCTTCCTTAATTTCCCTGAACTTGAAAGCCTGCTAAAATACTAGACTGATCTTATTCAGAACAGGAGTAGCAGAAGAGGGAGAGGAGAATTTATTCTATTCAAGTGAAATTCGTTTGAAGAGTTGTTTCTGAAGGTTTGTGTGGACCTACCCGGGTAACTCCAAAGATTTAGCTCTTAGGAAATGGCAACAGAGACCTGGGCTCAGATCTGTTTAAATAAGCACATAAAGTTAGAGTTTTGCAAAAGGATGAGAAAAATAGTTCGTTTACCTAGACTGAGCTGAGATGTATTGTGTGTAGTCTGATGGTGCTTCTGTCCCCTTCTGGTTGGAATGGAGCATTTCCCTAAAGCCAAGCGTGTGACAGAGCAGGATCCCAAAGGTTTTTTGCTTTCTGGTGATGGTTGGTCTGCCAAGCCTGGGGATTCCAGCAAAGGCCATGCTATAGAGACAGCATCTCGTCAGGATTTGCAGCATAGATGGTGTCCTGCAGGTTTTTAATGTGAAGGTCAGGTGAAGAGCAAGGGAACAATGCAGAAAGTTTCTAGATCTAGTGGAGGTTTGCATGCTCTTGTTGGTCTCACGTTCTGTAGATGCATTTATTGGTTTTCACAGAGTTTGCTGCTGTACTGTGGGAAGGGCGTTTTGGTGTTAAAGCCCTGTTTGCTGGGTTACTCTGCTTGCCCAGTTACTTAAGGAAAGCTGTGTTTACAAGCTTTAGATGACAGAACCAAGAGTGGAGAATGACTGCCTGAGGATCTGCTGTCACAGCAGGTGTGGCTGGGTCGGTGTATGGGGCACTTGTGCTTCAAACAAGGAATTACAATACCCATTGTTTCATGAGAAAAGCTCTCCACTGGAGAACTCGGGCTCAGCCTGGGCATCCAGCTCTGGAAGGAAATTAGGCACCGTTTCCCTTCAGCAGTTCATGTGCTTCTGTATGGGAAGTGTTTGCTCTTAATTTGATCTTTAAACTCTTCTTCCCCTTGGAGGAACTTCACTCACAAATGGCTAGGGAGCTATTTTGGAACCTGCTATAATGTACTGCTAAATAGGATGTTAGAGAAGAAAATACTAAATAGATTTTCAGTGATCCTAAGGTCTATGTGACTCTAGAGAATGCTTGTAGCTCAAACTGTGAATTCTTGAAATAAGGATGGATTGACTGTAGATGTGATGTTTGATACAAATCATGTTTTTTGTTACTTAGAATCAGCTCCACCTTGGAAAGTGATGGTGTGAAACTGCTCCAATCTTTGATTTGCCTTCTTTACTGCTACCATAAATGGCCATAGTGTAAAACCATTTGTTGACTGTGTGTGGTGTTTGATTGTGTAGCACCTCAGCTGAATGCTTCGTGCAGTTTCTTGATGTGGTTCGTCACAGATGTGGCTTTTTGAAATGTGAAAGTAGGTGTTTGCACAGAAAACTGGTTTGTGGCATAAGTAGATCTTAACATTAGAACAGGTCTCCCAACATGCATCTTGAGAGTGCTGTGTCTCTGGGTTTTAGTGGAATGAGAATGGTCCCTTATAGCAGATGTTTGGCTTTTTTGCTTTAGTTATAAGAGCGTTTGGTTTGAGGTTAATTATATTCTCTGGGCTAGAACAATTCTTGCTTTAAGAGATACATGCTCTAAAAGTCTAATCGTGGCAAAAGCCAGGATTAACACCCAAGAGGGTAGGTCCTCCATCTCAAAAAGTCACGTGAAATATTAATCTAAGAATCACAGAATCAGGCTGGAAAAGACCTCTGAGACCATCAGGTCCAACCCTTGACTGATCACCACCAGGTTACCTTGACCATGGCACAAAGTGCCTCGTCCAGGCTTTGCTTGAACATTCTTAACGTTAACATCAATGCCATAGATACTAATTAATGTTAGTTATCTCTATCTTTTTCTATTCCATGCAGCGTCTGTGATAATTCAGAGTGAAAAATAAACTCCCTCTGGGATTTCTACATGTTTCCCTGTCCTGTGAGTGGGGTGATGCTGACTAAGAGTGGTACTACACCTGCAGGTGCACAGGCGAAGGGGAAGAAACACTGTGGTTGGTTTTAGTACAGCCAAATGTTTTGCTGGTAAATAAGGGGGGGTTTTTTTAGATGGAAATCGTTGCTTGCTTAAACTTGCTTAACTACTGAGGGCAAAAGCATTTTTAATAAAATTTGAGGACATAAATGTGTTCCCATTTGACACTGTTTTGACTTCAAAAATCTGAAGTTGCTGAGGCTGAAAATTCTGGCACTGCTTAAGAGCATTATAATTGTGCTTACTGGGATTTTAGGATCTCTTCCTTTTCCCTGTAGATCTGCTAACAAGCTCATTTAGCAAGGCAGTGCTTATAACCAGTTCTGTGCTATGAAATTGTACTCATGTCAGGATCAGCAATGGTAAAACCATTCAGTAGTTTCTTGTTCCTGGAATTTGACTGTGTGCACATTTGCCTATATGTGAATATTGGTCACATTGTGCTTTTAAAGTCTTGACTAATTGGGAGGATAATGCTACTCAAGAACTTGCCTCTGTCAAGCTCCCTAGTGAATATTCCAGTTGTGAATGAATTGGCTTTGTGATTGCCATTGCTGCTGGGGTGGGCTTGTGTGTGGCACTTGCTTGGTACAAAGTGATGGCCATCCATGTATCTTCTGCCCAGAAAGCATCTCCTCCTTGCTGCTTCTGTGATTCTGATGTTGGTGGGACTCCATGCACACTGTAAAATAACTCAGGAAAAATAAGTCCTGCCCTGCTTGATACTCTTCAGGTGAGTACAGGTGAGTGTGGATTCTGAAGGAGGTGACAGACAGTGTTAGGGTTGCACATTAGCAGAGTGACACACGAAGCTTATGGGCTGATTTAAAAGTGATCCCACTGAGTAACCTTGTGCCACTGAGGTGCAGGGTCTGGAGATCCTGCAGGACAGAATGTTTGGGTTGACTTTGACTTTTTTTGGCAAAAAAACCCCAAAAACGATGGAGTGGAGCCGTAAATTCTGTCTTCCCAACCACGAGCCTAGTGGTTTGGGTTTGCTTGTTGTTTTTGTTTATATTTAGGATAAAACTTTCTCTTTTACCTCTAAGAACTTCAGCTCTCTGCCTGTAATGTAGAAGTTCCAGTAGACATGGCTTAGCTTCTGAAAAGCCAGAAATGAAGTGCTACATAGCCTGTTGTAAACAATCCTCGTGTGCTGTACTGTGCCTTAGCCACTTGATGAGAAATCCAGGCTGAGTTATGCTGTTGTCAGATGGGAAGGAGTAATAACCTTTGATCTTGAAATCTGCTGCTGCTGGTAGGGAGAGAGACTATGAAGACATTCTTCAAGGACATTAAGATTAAACTTCTCTGCAAGCACTGATTAGGCTGGAAAGGAAAGCATTGTAATCCCCTGGTATCTGTGATGGAAAACACTCCATATTGCTTTTTTTCCAAAGTGATTTGTCCAGCTGAAACTTTGTTTCAGCTACACCAGTCCACACTGCAGGCTCTTGTACCCCGTGTATTTGATTTCTAAGCTTTCGTTCTTCCAGAAACCTGGAATTTTGAGGATAGTGATATTAATTTGAACAATTATTTCTGCAGGAGTAATGCCCACATCTGTGAGCCTGGTGTGTTTAATATGCTTGTGTTTAACGTGCTTGTTCTTTCTGACAGGCATCACACCTCACCGTGATGTCAGGCCAGCCTGTGTCACTGCAATGTCTCTGCTGGGTATCTCTGCCCACATGGGGTAGGATTTCTCCATCTTGCTCCAAAGGTGGAGTGATTTTCCACATTGCTTAGCTAAGTTCAGCTTACAGTGGCCGAGTCTGGGTTCTTTTCCTTGCCATCTGTCAGGATGGGATCTGTTGAACACCGTGCCCAAGCAGTGGGACAGAACCAAGGTTTGTGTGCCAGGAAGGTCTGAACACCCTGTCCCGAGTGTGAAAAGCCTCACACAGCCTGCCCTGCCTTGCCAGAGATCCCCTTTCCTTCCTTTTCACTCCCACAATTGGGTGGGTTAATCTGACACCGTACCTTAGAGCCACGATAAAAAAAAAAAAATACTCTTAAGCTTGTTGTTGTTTGGCTCTAAATCCCAAGCTGAGGTTATGAGTGCTTCTCCTTGATGTGTGTGGGTTAAAAATCAGATGCTGAAACGTGAATCTCTTGAAAAAGTTCACTTGGCAGAGGGGACATGAAGGTGATGGAGTTTCTTGCTGATTTGGGAATGAGTGGTGTGAAGTGCTTTGTTCTGCTTCCTGGTCCCTGTGTGCTGGCCAGGCTCAGAGCAGCCAAATCACATGGAAAAAAACCACCTATACTGACCAGGGCCAGTTCTCCTTCTTTCTGAGGTTTTGCTGCTTAGTCACAAACTTCTGAGAAATGGTTTCAGGTGGAGGAAAGCACGTTTTCATCTCAGAATACAGTGTGATTGATGACTGATATGGATGTGTAAAAAAAAAACAAACCAAAAAAAACCCCAAACCTGGGTACTCCCCACTGTTGAGCCTGCAGCATGGGACCAATGGGCCTTGGGTTAATCAGCCTGATTTGGTGTGGCTTTCAAACTTTAGATTGATGTGTTAAAAGTGTGTGTTTAGTACATTATTGCTGTTGGAGTTTTTACCATGAATTTCTTGATGATGACTTGCCACCTGCAAGCTGTTCAGACACCCTTTTTTCTAAAGGAAAGTTACCTAGTGTATTTCTGTTTTAATTAATTTTGCAGCATTATAATATATGCACCATGCAGCTTCTGATGCTGTCACTACTGAATGATTAACACACTTTGAAGGAGTCCATTATTTCATGGGTAGGCAACCAATTATTTCATTATCATTTAAAAACTGTCATGCTGCAGGATAACTGCTCTGTGTTTTACTGAGTTGGATGAGGATCTGAGGGGAAGGCTAGTAATTATTAGCCTTGCTAATGAAAATAGATGGCTAAATAACACTTACACAGCTGTAATTTCAGCATTCCTGACAGTTCTGGTTATGACACTTTCCAAACTTAAAGATAATAGTAATTGTCTGTAGTCTGCAAAATTAGTCTAGACAGCCTAATCTAAGGCCAAAAGGTTGGAGTTGAATAAATATGTAATTTGGGCAAATAAAGCTATTAGAGCTGTGCTTATCTTCTTGGAGCAATAGTTCTTATTAGATAGAAGTGCTATTTTATAGCTTTTTCCTAAATAATTAGCTTTTAATGATCAGTCAACAAATCTTTGAAAAATAAAGCACTCCAGACTTTGCTAATGAAACTGAGTGTTATTATGTTGGATATTGTCCAAGCTGGTCTTCAACAATCCCAGGGAATTTACTGGTAACAGAAAAAACCCTACAGGACAGGAACCAGTGCTTTACTATCAATGTTTGCAATGATCTGGCAGCACAAATAAAATGTGTCACTGAGTCTGAAAGAGTCATTTCAACGTTTTTGTTTCCCAGCAGAACAAGTGGTATGATCAGAACTTCTGGAATATTTCATTTTTTGGGTTCAATCTCTGTTTGGCATTTTCATATTTGAGCAAATGGTGTATTAATAAAGTAGTTGCATACATTAAAGTTGGGTCAAAAGGCGTCTCTTGGTGATGTTTTGTGAATTTTAATAAAGTGGATGGACACATCAATGTGGTTTGCATGGCTAATATTTATTTGGATGAGGGATTTTTTTATAATTTTTATGTGGCAATTTGAACTTTCTGATCTCTTGATCATCCTAAGGCAGCAGGGAACTATAGTGAAATGTCAGGACTGGGGATGATAAAACCTCTCTCCTTCACTAGGAAGTTGCTATAGTTTAATTGTAGAATGAAATAGTAGCCTAGAAATATTTAATCCTAGCTTGACTCGTTCTAGTAGTCTCTGGGTTTAGTGGGCTAGTCAACCTGATTGTATCTCCATTTTAAACAAATGTTTTAAGAGGAACAATGTGGAGAATTTACCTTCCTCATGCTTTCTACCTGACTCTGATGAACCTGTCAGAATAGGAAAGGTGTGAACTTCAGAAGTTTTGATCTTGGCTTGCTGTGGAGTCCCAGGGATCAAACATTTTCAAGTACTTAAAATGTGAAATACGGCTTAGAGTTGCTGGAGTGCAGCTTTGTTTTACTGGCTTGCTGGGCTAGAAAAACTTCTTACTTTAATTAATTTAATTAATGTAATTGTCTGGCTCCAAATGTCCATAACTTAAGCTAGACAATGTGAAAAGTCCAAGTTCATCAGAGTTATGAAGTGGCTTCTTTGTTAATAGACTGGAAATGCTCTCAGCATGGGTCTCCTTGGAGCCACTGAGCTCAAGTCTCTTGCTGACTGTGGTACAGTTATGTCTAAGTTACACAAGTCAAGAGAGATTTTAATTGACTCTAAGTCTTCTCTAGTTACTGTACTTATTTTATAAACCAAAATCTCTTAATTACACTGTATATCTTGAGGTGTTCTACTTATTTCTAATATTGTGTTTGAGAAAAAGTATTCTAGGACTTTTTCCTCAGCAGGGGATTTTTGGAGCAACCTTGCTTTTTCTCTTTCCCCTGTAGTCCCCATTATCTGGTAACACACAGTCCTAAGATCAGATATGTACTTGTAAAAAAATAAAAAAAGATCACTGCGTTCTTGAAAAAACACTTTGAGTTCATCGTGAGCTGCTAGTTTGAAAACTATCTAAACATGATAAAACTTTATGGATGAAAAGATAGTGTGCCATGAATGTTTTAAACATTTCTTGAATTAGGAGTGGTTAAGATGAGGAAGATCGAGTACCTGGTGTGTTCATAGTTCCTGCACATATTTACTGTGAAGCAAAAACCAAATTAAATCGAGATTCAAGTAAGCTTGCAGTATAGAATATGCTTTGCAGTCAGACATGTTTCAACTTGAGAAATTGCAGAGCCACCTTCAAAGAATTCTGTAGGTGCTTACTGGCACTAAAGGGCATTAAGTGAAGGCTTTACAAAGAAGTCCCAGGCAGTGAAAGTGCACCTTCTGTGATCTTGAGCAATGAGAACTGCACCACTAGGAAGTGCTCAGTTGGCCAAAGTTCAGTGCACGTGTTGCCTCGAGCAGGTCTCTGTGAGTGAGTATGCTTGGTGTGGTTTGATTTTGAGATATTTGAGAATTATAAATTGGAAGGAAACGTTCACAGACTGGTGAGCTCTTAATACCAAGTTGCTGTCTTGTGGGGAGAGCTGTAAGATGGGAACTGAAAGGAGACCTAAGCACAGTGCAGATTGTTTGAGTTTAAAAGGTGAAAGCTTTTAAAAAGTATCAAGCTGCTGTTTTTTTGAAGGAAGTTAATGTTTTAAAAGATGTTCACGTGCACTGCAAAATATATATGAGAAGGAAACACACTCTCATCAGTATCTACATTATGTCCATGTAGCCAGCATCCATAATTTGAATCACAGAATCCTTTGGATTGGAAAATGCATTTAGGGTCATCAAGTTGAGACTTTACTGGCATATGATGGTGAGTTTAAGCTTGGCAGTATGTTAGCAAAAGGGCACATAACTTTTCAGAAAAAGTTTTAATGATTATTCTTGAAATTTCTATGATTTGAACATGCACTGAAAGGCTGTCTTAGTCAAAGTGGCAAAGGCACTTTCTTTTCCCCAAGCAAATCTACTGTATCTGGGTTTATTTCTTTTTTTCCCCCACTGGATCTTGTAATTATCTGTTTAGCAGTTGCACCCTCCAGATTTCTGCCTGTAAACCCAACCTATTTTGCCAATCATGCCTTAGGTGCCAGGTTTGAGGGAGGGAAAAAGGGTGTGGTTGGAGAAGATAAACTGCTTTATTTTAAGTAGCAGTTAGGGGAAGGGCAGAAATTAGCAGGCAGCTTTTTAAGCATGTTGAAATGTGTGAGAGCTGATGGATGTTCCCTGTCAGTGCACAAAAGTCACTTTGATTTCAGTCTTTCATATTCCTGAGTCTTGGTCCACTACATGACTGCAGAATCAGTTGATGCTCCAGAACCAACCTGGCTTTTAAATCTGTCACCCAAGTCAGTCCTGCTTAACTGGGGATGAAATCTGAAATTTTCTAGCATACAGCTGTCTGGAGAAATATCATTGGAAATGTGTGTTTATGGATACAAAATCTAATGCTCATTTAGGAAATGCAAAAATTAAAGGTGCATAGAGAGATTTATGTGTTAACATTCAAATTGAAGATACTTTACCTTCCATACCCTTTCCTCCTTGCCCCCCCATCCTAGCTCACCTTTCCCCACACCTGTGAGGGATGCAAAACTAGTTTTGTTATTAGAAATTCTAGTTAATGAGCAGAACAAAGCCCATGAAGAAGAGAGCCATGTCATATTCAGCTATGTGCATTAAATATGCCCATGCACTGAACACAGTTTTCTTAGGAGTTTTCATTTTCTGCTGTGCTCACCCCGTGGTCAGTGGCCATGCAGGGAGAGGGACAGCAGGGTACATGGCTGTGTAACAGCACTCACACTCTGTGCTTCCAGACTAAGCAGAGCTTTTGACAATCCTTGCATTGCTTAAAAAAATTTAAGGAGAGGACTTACCTCTACTTAATTAAGTCATTGTTTATTTCTATGTGCTACTGTCTGTTCTGTCTTTGAGTTGTTGGCAGGGGAGTAATCTCATGGATGTGCTCTAAGGCTGCCATGGCTTATACAACAACTTTGCATTTTCCTTTATGATTGTCTTCTTCAGTAGAACCATTAATGTTTGACTAAGCATGTACTTAATTCTAAAGTTTGGTATTATATATATGTGTGTTGCTGTTTGATTCAGGAACAAATAAAAATTTTCAACTTGTGTAGGGATTTCCAAAGGGCTTGGCTTGTACATGTCTCGTGTCATCTTTCTTTCACTCTAACTTCCTTCAGCTTAATCCTCATCTCTCCTCGTGCCTCAGTTTTCCCTGTTCATGCAATGAAGTGTTTCACATCACTGGGTAATGGCAGTAATTGAAGTTACAAATGACATCTGTCTCCCTGGACAGCCATAACAAGGCTGACAGCACACATTAGGGCAGTGGCAAGTAGTGCAAATTGAGGGAAGCATCATTGATTATTTGCAAGCACTGACTATCTTTTAATTTCTATTTCTTGGAAGAAAGGAATGGGTGCTCTTACTGTTTGTATAATTAAAAAAACCTCTTAAAGATTTGTAGGAATTATGGGATGATTGGGTGATGCCACACTTAGCTTTCTGTAGCATGAGGCAGTGTTCTAATCATTGTTTCCTTAGTCTGGTTTTTATCAGGATAATTTTAGACCTTTGGTCTCCTATTCTCCCAACCTTCAACACCAAAATACTTGCCCTCATTCTGTAAAACGAGAATGTTTGTTTATGCCAGCAGAGCATGCTGAATGCAGTCCTGAACATTTGTGTTTGAAATGGTGCTGGGTTGCTGTGGGTACCTCCTGCAGTCCTTTTCTGCTCCTGGTTTGGGCACTGCACAAAACCTTTGCAGAGGTGGCACTTCCTGTCATCAACCCCAACAGGATCCACCTCCTGCTTTTCCAGCACCAACCAATTAAACCTGGCTGGAAATACTGGGTCCTGGTGAAGCACCTGCTCCTGGGGGGGTGTGTGTTTGCTATTGGAACAAGCTTGTCAGAGGCTCTCTGATTAGTGCTGTGCTTTTAGTTTGTTTGGGTTTTTCTGTGACCCAAATGCCTGGGGCACTGCAAAATACTAAATTTGTGTGTTTTGCTCTGTCTGTTCCTTTATTCTGGAATGCAGTCTGGGTTTATGTTTGCTTCTAGAAGTCAGGGTTTTTTTTTACTGCATGTTTTCCTTGTTTTCTAGCCAGCCAACTCATGTACTCTAAAGAAATGACTTCTCCTTTGTGCTGTGAAAGGAGGTTCTCTTAGTCCCTTGATTTGCTGAGGCTCTGAGCTGCTGCTTTGCCTGATGACCCCTTGTGCTGGGCAGGTTAGCTCTGGACCAGGGCAGCACAGTGCTTGGGCAAGGTGACAGGTGACTGTCACCCATCCTCTAGGAACCTACCTGTGGTGACACAGAACCTGTCTGCTTGTTCCTCCAGAGACAGGAACAGAGATTAGAACTCCTAGGAGCAGCCTCTCATCTCCTTTGCAACCTGGAGGAGGGCACAACATGTCACTGGGGTCATTTTAGTACTTTGGGCTGCTCTGCCACTCTTAGGTAGAAGAGTTGAAGGCAGAGGCTCTAAGATTTCATGGGTGGGTAAACAATGGAGGTTGCTAACTGAGTTGTGCAGTTAGTCATTCACATCTTAATTCATGGCCTGAGAAGGCTTTTATGGTGTAACATAACATTTCTTTCTAACAGAAAGCTGTCCACTTATGGCCCTACTAACTGACCATGGCACCAGAGCTCTGGTCTTCATCTGTGGCACTGACTTTGTCTATGGCTTGGAACAAATGCTAGAAATACTCATTTAAATGAAGAGAACTTAGGTTTCTGTCTTTTCCTGGGTTAAATATTTCTGATGTGATCAGTGTGGTGTGTGATAGGGCTGTAGCTGATATTGCTGTTTGTTGTATGCCCATGGTGGAGACCTGGCAGTGCAGGGGATGAATTGCTTGAGTGGGTCAAGGGCAGGCATGCTCTTGGTGAAGTGCAGGGGAAATGAGGTAAAACCTAGAGGAGAGATGATTGTGTGAAAGGCAGGCACAGGAGAGACTGCCAGAAGAAATACTCTGTCAAGGAGCACAGCACAGGAGTGTCTTGGGATCTTATATTTCAGGTATTTGGGAATGAACTCAAGTCTAAAGTTGAAGCTTTGGTGTTGGTGGATGCTACACATGTTTGTTTTAAGTCCTAGCATAAAAATTATAGCTAGGGAGGATTTTTGGGCTGTTTGCAATGCTCAAATTGCAGATGCTTATTTAAATCCAGAGCTGGTCTGTAACTGTAGCTGGAGGGTGGAAACCCTTCTATTTCCTTGCCTTTACTGGGTTTGAACCAAAAACTTAAAACATGTGGAAAAAATTTAAATAAGCAACCAGTGGCTCTTTGAAACATGATGTGTATGTTTAGTAAATACAGATGGAGATTATAGAGACAGCAAGGATGAATATATATTTTGGCATGTTCCTCTCCTTTAACTTACAGTGGTGTGCTCTCAGTGTGCTGGGCTGCCTTTCATTGCATGGCCTTGGAGCTTGGTGTAAAGAGAAAAAGAAGAATGTTGTGCACCCTGCCTCTGGACTGCAGCTTAGAGCAGCTTCCTGTCAACAACATCCTACTCCTCTCCCACCCTAAAACATAAAAGTGCAGAAGAAAGTTATCTCCTGGCTTTGCAGTTTGTGGGCTGCTGATTACTTTTGTGAAGGGTAAATGTGAAAAGCTGCATAAGAGCTGTCAATTGGCACTGGGGTTTTCCATCAAAGATGTCTTTACTTAGTAATTTTTATTAATTTATGGGGTGGGACTCAAGTGTAAGCTAATGGAGGAATTTCTCTGTCTATTAAAGGCAATATATAAATGGAGGAAGATGATAAACTTAAGAGCAGATTGTCATATCGTGTCCTTACCAAAAGACTTGAGTGATTGAAGCAATGGTTTAGGGATTGCTATTGCCTGAGACAAAGACTGCTGGAGCAGAATTCTGTGTAGTGTCATTGTTTCCATGCACTGTAAGTAGAAACTCCTGTGAAGGTCAGGAGATTGTTTGAAATGCATTTGATGATAACCAGTATGTATATAGAAAGGGATTTTAGTGATGGGTTACCCAGCTAGAAGTGATGTAGGTAGTGTGGAATTGGGAATTTTTGTGTTCTTTTGGTTTTTTTCCCCTTTGGCAGCGGGCTTTCCCATCTCTGGACTTGATTGCTACAGCAGTCTTAGAAAGAGAAAACCTAGAAAACCTGTTGCATAATATTCTGGGTAAATTGAATGGTTGATGAGACTGCTGGGCTCAACTTCTCATTTCCCTTGTAGGAGATGGGTGGAAAGAGCTTTGATTTTGCTGGTGATTAAGGGAGTGGTGTAACAGGAGAGCGTGCTCAAGTTACTATCTCCTTAGAAGAAATTTAACTGCTTCTAATTATTTCCTGCAGGCAGTGGCCAACTGCAGTGGAGTCAGCTGAATGAGTCGTGGCTCTTTGGATTTGTCAGAGAAACTCAGCCACTCCTAGAAGAGCAGATCTGAGATCCTGGGCTGTATCAGGCCACCCCAGAGATCCAGGCTGTGAGTTCCATGCCAGGCTGCTGCTGTAGCTTAGCAGGGTGGCTGCTCAGAGGTGTTAGGGCTTGCACAGGCAGCTTTCCTAAAGCAGGCATGGGGATTCCAGCATTCTGGGATGTGCTTGCTCCTCTCATTTGTCTAGGCTTGGCATCATCATTTGGAAAGCTGTAGGTTGTCAGTGGTTTGTGTCTGCTGGAATTGTGCTCCTGTTAGGCTTTTAAGCAGTTCTGCCACAAACTCCTTGACCTCTACCAAGTTATTTATGCTGGTGTAGAGTCTTGGGCTGGCTGGGTGTGCAGGCACCTTGCCCACATGGCATTCAGGAGCCAAGGGATGGCTTCATGCAATGTTTCAGGATATGCTCTGCCATGCCTTAATTCTTTAAACGCTGCCTGAACAGCAGCAGGAAGGTCCATTTCTGCTCAAATTGATAAATACTGTGTCTGCTACATCTAATTCTTGTAAATCAACCCAGACTGCATAAGGCCTGCAAGCTGTGGTTGTGTTTCCTGCAGCACACAGTCCCAGTGCAATTTGGGAATACTCCTTCAAAACCAGCAGCTGTTTCAGGCACATGAGCCATGTCCAGTGCCTGGAGCTAAACCACAGCACTAATTGCCTTGCAAAGCTCTCCTGTACTGGCTGTGACAGCAGATTTGGCACTGCAGCTCCATGGGAGGGAAGAAAATACATGTAAGGACAGTTGTTACACAGGGGAGCTGTGGCATCTGCTCATTCTGAATTTGACCTGTGGCTGATGCTGGATCAGGACAACTTAATCTCGTTTCCCTTTCTGAGGGAGGAACCGTGCTCCTGTCTCTGTACCTAGCCTTGCACTTTTGCTTTGTGTATAGTTGGGGTTTTTTTAATTAAAAAGAAACAAACTAAAAAGGGTGGAGGGAATCACAGAAATGCCCTATAGATTACAGAACATGCTGTAGTTGTTGGCCCGTGGACAGATAATGAGGAAAATAAGAGGAATCTGTCTGACATCATTATGGCTTTCTTTTTCTGAACTCTCTTAGTGAAAAATATTGCCCTTGCTGGATATAAAGTTGCTGCTTTTGGTGTTCTACTAGCACTGATTCATGAGAGTAAAATAAATCTATTCCAAATTCTCCCTTTTAAATAAAAGCTGCTATCCTTTACCATTTTGTAGATGTAAAGGTTCAGGCAGTAACTTTGAATTCTGCAGGATGGAGGAATGAAAGCTGAAGCTGGAGAGGGACAGGGAATAATTTCAGAGTGCAGGCTTTATCTTCCATGGTTTAGTCATCGAATGCTTTTTATAAATATCACTTTGTTTCCTTAGTGAAACATAGAACTGAAATTCCCTTCCTTGTGATCATCCCTTTAAAGTCAGATTTTGTAAATGATTTTATTTATACATCAGTATGTTCACATAAGTTTCTCATCCACCTTTCAAGGTTTGTTAAAGGCCACAGATGAATTGAGACCTTATTTACAGTTTGTGTAAATTCATTCCTCAGAGTCTCTTCTTAAGCTCCAGGATAGATTTGAGTCATGGATACAGGAAAAAAAGATGTTTTGAAGGCTGAATTTTTTCCTATTTAAATCTTGAAGGGAAGCAAGGTAAAGGGATGACTTTTAGTTGAAAAAGCTTCTTGTTCTGAGGTGAGTGTTCTGCTGACTAGGTAGGCACTTGGGCTGTGTGTTGCATTTAGGACGCCATGCCTGTTGGTTTACTGGAATTTTTTTAGTGGTAGGGGTTTTGTTTGGGGTTTTGTTTGTTTTGATTGGTGTGGGTGGGGCTGAAGGGAGGCTGCTCATCCTGGGTGCCCTCCCTGCAGAACAGCTGAGGCTGCTGTGTAGGTGTGTCCTGAGAGGACACTGATGGCTGCTTAAAATGCAGAGGAGCTGCTCAGGGTCTCTGCTCTGGCGGGGGGCAGCAATTTTTTAGTGTGGTGCCAGATCTGAATGAACACATCAACAGCAACCTGTACAAACTGCTCCTGCAGCCAGCTGTGTGATGGCTGTGGTACATGAGCCAGGTTATATATAGCAGGCACAGCTGGTGGGGTGTGCTGCAGCCACTGATGTGTTTCTGCCAGGGATGCAGCTGCAGCTCAGCCCATCAGCTCTGCTGGGCAACCCCTGGCCATGCTGCCAAAGCAGGAGCCTTGGGCATGTCCAAGTGCTGGGCTCAGCTGGCTGCAGTCAGGACAGCGTCCTGCAGGCTGCCCTCCTCACCTGGGCTGCACAAGGGCAAATACAGCCACAGAAATTATCTGCAAAGAGCAGAGTTAACTGTTCTGCACTCACAGTGCTGTGTGTGGAGAAGGTTAGTGGGCTAGTGCTGTGATTTCAGTTCTTCCTTTTTTTTTTTTTCCCTATTTTGTTTTCCCAACCACGACATCTGTTAACTTGATTTTGGTAAATTCAGAGGAGCAGAGTGTTGTCTTGTTGGTATCTTTAAGTTTGTGTAATGGGAAAGGTGCTTCAGCAAAGCCCCCTCTCCTTTTTTTTTTTCTTTTTTCTTCCTAGGAGCCCATATGTAGTTTCAAAGCATTCCTAATTCCTTACTGATTTACAGAGCTGAATAATGTACACAGGTGGTACTCCTGCAGTTCTGCACAAATTGTGCACTGGGTGCCTGCTGGGAGCATAGATGGGAAGGAATTTAATCAGAGATGAGATTTGTTATGCCAATGTGATTGCTTTAGTTTTAGGTGAAGTTAATTTTATTATAACTGCATGCAAGCTAAAACTTTATCCTTGGAATCCTAAACTTGTCTTCTGCTGGTGCTGTTAACCCAGTATTCAATACCAAATCACCCATTCTCTAGAGAAATGCTCTGCAGTCTGGGTGATAAACAACAGCCTGGCAGTGTCTGGTGGAGCTTTGTGCTTAAGCCATGGGTGGCACAGGCATTTCATGGCTTATTCTCCTTTCAGGGGTTGTCTTTCTGGAGAATGTGAGTGCTTAAAGTCATTAAAACCAGGACAGAAATCCTGGGAATGAGGATGTTCTAACGAACTTCATTCAGCTAACAAACTAAGTGCCACTCGTGCTGTGTGGAGCTGTTGCTAGAAATTGTTCTAAAACTGCTGGGGAATTCTAAAACAGCTGAGAAAGTCCTGGTACTTCCTAGAAATTGCTGGCTCTGGGAATGGGAAAGGAAGTCTTGTCAACTTGAGAATTTTAAAGAACTTCTAAACCCTACCAGAAGTCCAGAGAAATGATAAGAGACCTTAGAAACTGCTAGAAACTTTCAGTTTCTAGGGATTTCTGAGAAATCCGAGGAGTTAGCAGTAATGTCTGGAGAATGTTAGGCTGTGGGAGTCCAGTTATGTCAGTGACTCTGCTAGTAATCTCTACAATTCATGAGCATTTACAAGGAATAGGAAAAGCATTACTGCTTATCTTTGGATGAAATGTCAAATGGTTGTGCATGGATAAACACACTCACCTTCCTTATGCAGTCAGGTGTCCAATTTTAGCATTTCCCTCAGAGAGTGTCCTGTGTGTGCTTGTCTAAGACACAAACTTGTTTTCTTCTCTGCAGTCCTACTTTGTGACTGATTATGACCCGACCATTGAGGACTCCTACACCAAGCAATGTGTGATAGACGACAGAGCTGCACGCTTGGACAGTAAGTGACCCAGCCACAAAATGAGGATTAGGGGTTTGTGTTGTTCCCAGGAGTTACCTGGGTGACACTGTGCCATGAGAAACACACCTCTGTGCTGCCTCTCCCAACTGCCATGTAAATGCTTGGCTTTAAAAATTTCTGTTCTTGCATGCTGGTGATTTCTTTAAGAATAAACCGACAATCCTCATCCCCACGTATCTCTGAGCATTTTCCATCTGTTTCAGATGGTCCAGAATTAGCAGAAGTCCTCGAGTGTTTTGTTGTTCAGTTTGTTTAGTAGGACTTGAATTGTTCAGTTAGTGCAAGAACTTGTTGGGAATATTAGAAGAATATCCAGCAGTATCTGTGAAAAGTGGTTTCTGCTTGGCTATGATGCACAGGAGAGACTCTCACAGTATCTTATCAGGAATATTTTTTTTTTTAATTCAGTCTATCAGAACATGAAATGTAGTAATCCATATTTTTGCTTATGTTCAGTTCTGGATACAGCAGGACAAGAAGAATTTGGAGCCATGCGTGAGCAGTACATGAGGACAGGGGAGGGTTTTCTGCTCGTTTTCTCAGTCACAGATAGAGGAAGGTAAGCCTGAGATCAACTTAGTAAAACAAATAAGTTTTAATTATTCTTAAATTGCACCTTACCCTTAACTGAACTAATCTCAAACAAAAATAAGTATGTGTTCACTCTTAGGTTCATGGTGTGATGCTCTTTCAGCATTGAAGACCAGTTTTGAAACAATCACTTTGTGAAAGTGTCTGTTTCAATAAATGACTTGAAAGCATCCAGCTCTATTCAAGAACTTTATTACAGTCCAGAATACCATTTTCCTGGGAGTGTCTGGTATTCAGTCAGTTCTTAGGAATATCCCTCTGCCATGTGCAGCATCAAGTAGTTGGCTCTGAGTTTCTGAGTGAGTTCAGGGTATGTGCCTGCACTCTTTAGCTGGCAGAGGTCCCTCTGCTTGTTCCTATGCATTGATTGAATGGCTGCAGAATGGAGATGAAACATCTTCTTAGGAACTCATGGAGCGTATGCTTAGTGGCATGCATCCCTTCACCTTTGCACGAGGTGTCTGGCTATCTAATTCTTTTAAACGTGGTTTTTTTTTTTTTTTTTTTTTTTTTTACTGATGATCATCTTGCTTTTAAATTTTAGCTGGCAAATTAGCTGCAAAGGGTATGTGATTATCTGCAAATGTGCTGAAGGTCCTTAGGTAGTGATGTAGCTTTAAGTGTTTACTTGTAAGCAGTGATTTATTTATCCATCCTCAAAAATCCTTGCTTAGGCCAGAATTAGCTTGTTTAGTATACTATCCTGGAAGAAGTTTTCTGCTCTGCTCACCTTTCCTTAAACACTGCTGGAATATTCCTTGTGCTTGAACAGCATCAGTACCTGGTGTAACTCAGTTGGTAACTGGAAAACTTTGATTGTTTAGCCCTGCCATTTTTCTGTCCTTGATGACACAAAACTTCCCACCTTTGATAGCTTCCCCCAAAATTCTTAGAAGTAGCTCTGGAGGTTGCCAGCTGAAATATTGATCACCAGAGTCTCTATGCTCTCTGTAGGTTGAATATGTAGTTTGAATGTAGTCTCCATGTAGTTTGAATATTCTAGCTGGAGTAGAACTCCTGAGTTAATATTTGTAGAATGGACTGTGGTTGCTTGATTCTCTGCAGCAGATTGACCCCGGGTCCCTATGGACTGAGACACAGTGAGTGTTTTGCTCTCCCTGCAGCCCCAGCTCAGCCCAGTGCAGAGGACACTGCTCACTTGGGGATTTTTTTTAGTGTCGAATGGTTCTCTGACTGGTCATGCTGTGGCTCTGGAGTGCCTGCAGCTGCCTGTGCTTGTGTGTCATGGCAGGGCAAGTCCCAATAGGTGACTCATGATTTCTGAACTTTTTCAGAACCTGAGAATCTGTGAATTAGTGCACTGATGCTCTGCTTGTGTTCTTTCCCAGCTTTGAAGAAATCTATAAATTTCAGCGGCAGATTCTTAGAGTGAAAGATCGTGATGAGTTTCCAATGATTCTCGTTGGTAACAAAGCAGATCTGGACCACCAAAGACAGGTAATTCACATGCTCTTGGTTACTGCTCACTTCCTTCCAGAAAATTCAGTTTTCCTCCCACAGTGGGAACAAACAAATGAAAAAAGTCATATCAGACAAACGAATTCCAATGCAAGAAACTCCACTCGGTTTTTGTACTTGAGGAACTGTAAGAGCAGGGTGGCATTCCATACACAGCACATCTTGTGTCTGACTCAGGGGGGTTATGTTGAGACCAAGTCTATTCACAGAGCTGAGAGCTTTCTGTCATGACTTGATTACTCAGGCATGAACGTGTCTAATTGCTCAGTTGTGTTACTCACCACTGCCCTGTGCCAGCAGAGTGCATTCCAGCACTGACTCCAACCATCCTTAGTCCTCAGTGCTCTTGCTTTTACCTTCCACTGCTGTCATGTACAAATTAGTGCTTATCCACTGTTTTCTCTTTGACCACTCATCTTCTGCATAACTCACTTAAAGCTTTAAAAGTTGGAAGTACAGCAACAAAATTTCTTTTATATTTATGCACCTTAAAGTTTAGAAACCAATAGTTTTCAACCTTGCCTCTAGTAGCAGGACAACTTTGAAATATTTAGTTTTAGTTTAGAATGACTTAAAGGATTTTCCAATGTGTTTTCCTTAGTTGCTGTTGATTTTTAATGAATCAAACTAATTTGAGCTGAAATGAAAATCATCTTGCTATAGCAGCAGGAAAGGAACAGATGTCAAACTTGTATTTTTTTTCAGCAGCTAATTTGAGAAGCTTAATATTCTCTCTTGAGACAGCAAGATGACATCTAAATCTTGGTGGCAAACACATGATTTTCTGAGAATAAAGTAAATATTACTAAAATTGCTGTAATTGTTTTAAGAGTTTCACAAGAAAAAACGTTGCTTAAAGAGCTCAGTGAATTAGTTTGTGCAATTGAATTACAGTTACAGTACAAAAAAAATTCCTGTTGAATATGGTCCCTTGACTGTCACAGCCTCTTCATCCCAGAAGCTGTGTAGAAAGATCATGACAAAATTAAAAGCTATGCTGAAATATGCTGCCTTGAAAGAAGTTTTCAGAGAAATAGCTCACAAATTCCTCTGAAGTGACTTTAAATACTCACACATTCACAGAACAGCCTGTCCCTGAGACAGAAGCAAAACTCTTTCATTCTTCAGTTACCATCATGCCCCCATCAAAATTCCTGGATTTAACCTTGCAGGTCCTGGAACATGAATACTTTATCTCCTGCACAAATGTTGGCATGGAAATTATGGAGGTGAAACTGAACTATTCTGCTCATTGTAACTGCTGAAGGACAAACACCCAGATGCTTTAG